GTGTGTGTGTGTGTGTGTGTGTGTGTGTGTGTGTGTGTGTGTGTGTGCGTGCGCGCGCATTATTCCCCACTCAAACTAATTGCTATTGTAACTTAGGTGTCTAGATCCATGACCATATTCCCAGATAATCTAGTTGGTAATCTAGATAATCTATATTATACACACATACATCGTGGAGCAACAAAACCTTCATTCCAGAAATTCTTAATTAGCTCCAAAGAAGCAAAAGTTGTGAGTGTAAAATGTTCCTCTTAAGCTTCCAAATTGCAACCATCCTGAAACCATTATACAAACAGAAGATTGTGCCACCAGGTTAAAAAAGTCACACAATCATGAGAGAGAGGGAAGATGGAGCATACATACTTACAGTTGGCCCTGTAGTGTTTGCCTCACCTATACAGACATGGCTCCGAGCGTTGAAATAAACTTATTTCTTAGTTGTATAGTAGTTCACAAGAAACCGATGAACTACCATTAGCAAATAATGTCATTTCAGATAGAAATACATTTTCTAATTTTGAAACTAATTATTTGTGAGTGAAAAAATTCAATTTTTATTTTTAAAGCCTCTTGATATGTAGAGATAAGATGCACTAAAGTTGCACCCTTAAAAATCAAGTAAGTTTAAATCAAGGCAATAAGTAAAAGTCAAGAGTTTACAAACCAGCAAAGAGGTATAAGATGACAATTAACTTATTTAACTTAATCAAACTTAATTAACAAGGTGACTCCATGGACAAAAGTGCTGGCCCTGCAAGCCTTACCACTTGCCCTCAAGCCCTGCAACCCCATGCCGGAATGAAGGAACCCACTCCCAAAAGCTGTGCTCTTACTTCTATAAGTGCAACCCAGGCATGTATGCTCACCACATTCAAGCACACACGCACGCACGCACGCATGCACACACACACGCATGCTGTGGATATCTGTACGCTGTGAATGTGTTGCTCTGATTGGTTAATAAATAAAGTGCTGATTGGCCAGTAGCCAGGCAGGAAGTATAGACGGGACAAAGAGAGAGGAGAATTCTGGGAACAGGAGGGCTGAGTAAGGAGACACTGCCAGCTGTTGCCATGAGAAGCAACATGTAAAGATACCAGTAAGCCACAAGCCACATGGAAACTTATAGATTAATAGAAATGGGTTAATTTAAGATATAAGAACTAGATAGCAAGAAGCCTGAGCCATTAGGCCAAACAGTTTAAATAATAAAAGCGTCTGTGTGTTTATTTGGGTCTGAGCGGCTGCGGGCCCGGGCAGGACTTGAGATAATTCCAGCTACACACGCACGCACACATGCACACATTTTAAAAGATGACAACCTATCAACTTTGCATGGAGAACCGTAAGTAGAATTTCCAACTTTCACAACCCAGCTGTGTGTAATTCTGAGTCCCATGTTTATCAGGTAGACTGCTGTTCTTGTGTGTTACAGTGAGACAAACTGACCTTTTATGGTGTGATTGAATGAAAGCATTTTAAAGCAACCCCAAAGCCAAAACCACTTCACAGAGTTCTACTTTAAAGTATTGCATAGTATCAGAATTTCTGTTTTTGTCACTTCAAATTGACTACCATTCTATAGATAGCTAAAACCATCCAGGTGAAAATGATAGCTATACTCTGGGTGCTGAGCACCCCACAAAAGTCTTGTAAGAAAACCCTGGTGCAGGAGTGGCAGTCTTAGAATTTCCAGAGGTAAATTCTGCAGGAGGTCTTTAGATCATTGGAGTTATGGCTCCAGAGGGGGCTCATGGACTCTGGTGCCTTCACCTTCAAGTGCATAGTCTCTGGTGCCTACCTACAATCACCTAGGCTGTCCCAGTCAACTGGGCTGTAGAAACCTGCACTGGAGGTCCTTACACCACAAACCCAAATAAATTTCTTCTGTTTGTGATTTCACTGAATCAGGTATTCAAATCTTGTGTAGTCATGAAAAGTTGACTAAGGCTCCTCTTCCACAGATTTTTCTACAAAGTGTGTATTTGAGGTAGATGAACACCCACTAAAATTAGTTACATGCTAGTTATCTGACAGCTGGTTTTAAATAAATCCCTTAACTACCCTCTAAAAAAATAAATGCATCTGTGAAGAAATCATTATCTCCCTTCCCCAACGAGTAAAATAAAATAGAAGGGCCATTTAAAGATGCCCCCACTCACAGTTCTTGCCTGAATAAAATAAACAGGAGCAGAGGGCACCTTGACTACTACTTAGGAAATAAAATCGGAAGACAGGGACATCTGTAATTCTAATCACATTTGTGCCTTCTCTCCTTTTTTACATTTCTCATCCAAACATTCTCGGGATCTCAATAGGCTTAGAGGAACTGGGGCAGTGCAGAGAACAAAGGTGGGGGACCCAAGAAAGAGCCGAAATCACTGTCCACACCACCTTAATACTTTCAGATCGGCTGAGACTTTCCAGAAGACATAAAAATCACAAGTGTAGGAAGGAACTGCAAAAAGTTAGTCAATCTTCTTTATATTACAGAAATAGCATTTTAGCTAGACACCTAAGGCGTTAACCCCTGTGGACAAGAAATGCAATAAATAAATAAATAAATGCACTAAAAAATAAACTTCTAAAAAAAAAACAAACACTAAATTAAAGGTATTAGTTTTAGCCAATGAAAGGCTGTGTATTAAGTAAGGACATGAATTTTTAAAAACGGCGTTGTTTGTATTCTCCTGTGGAAATGATACATAGGTATACACTGTCCTGAGGACGGGGTGATTTTAGAAAGCAAGGCAGCCACCTACTGACTTCATCATGTTAGCTGTTATATAGTTACAAAAATATGACTATAATATATATATATAAATATAATAAATATAAGAATAAAATGTTTATTAAGCACATGCTACACACAACTTATGCAAATTGGGAATGGGATATTTTTAGCAGGGGAAAAAAGATAAATCAATGCCAAAACATTTTAATGTTTTACTGAAGCATTAAAATTAATGAATGATACAAGAAAATCTCAGTATTATACCAAGTTTGTATATGAATGGTTTTACTGGGTTAATCAAAATCAACACAATACTTTCACCTGACTTTCCTTAATGAAAATACCCAAGGAACTTGGCACTGCTTTCATAAGTACCACTGATGTCTCTGAGAGCATGGCTGGCCCAGCTACAGCATAGCTCCGTTAGTGGGGACCGCTGTCTCTGAGAGCATGGCTGGCCCAGCTATAGCACAGCTCCTTTAGTGGGAGCTGCTCTGCTCTCCATCACCTTAGGCTACAGATAAAAAGGTGCTTGCAATAGGGAAACAACCCAGGATGACTTTAAAAAGCAGGTGCGTGTCCTCTCAGCATTAGTCTGTGCCGTAAGTATCAAATGCCAACAATGACAACCTTTTGCTTTTCTGTGGGGCAGAGTTTCAGTAGTAGTCCCTTACACCATGGTAAAAGGCTATCTCAGTGATCAATGCTGTGGAAAGGGACAGTATATACAGGTTCTAGAAATGAAACTCGACACCTTTCTGCAATGTGTTGTCTTCAGAAGGCACCAGAAACACTGAGATGTGAGAAGGTGTTGGAATCAAAGCCTTACTGAAGAGCTGTCAACATGCAGCCAAAGCTATGGCATTTGGGGGACAAAAAATCTCAGAATGTGAGGGTTTCATAGCTCAACACCCATTGCACACAAACCATTTAGTTTTATAAGCAGCTAAGTGAGATGCATTTCTTAATGAAAGAGTACACTAAAATAAGTAAGTACATGCATATAAGGGGATTTTTGCCGCTGTTGTTTTGTTTATTTGTTGAGGAGACAAGAAATGCCCTAAGCTGGAAGTGTCAACTATGTGTGTCAAGTAGTTTGGAAAATGTCTGTGTACTGAATAGGTATTCAAATAAATATTGGTATATTTAAAAGTGGTCATGTAAGCTCTGACTGATCGTTTTATGTGCCCAGAAACCCCGGAAGGATGATAAGCATCGAGTTTACTGGCAGAAAAGCAACCAAGCAAACATGCTACCACTGGGGAGTGCTAAAGGCAAGACACCTCCTCGCACTGGAAAAAGGATGTATTTTGTACTCAGGCATCCTTTGCAAATTCTTTGTTCACCCAACAACCTCTGTCCCTTCTGTTGACTTCAGCAACAGCTAGCATTACTTGACGAACTTAGCTCCAGTTGCGTTGGCTCACTAACGCCTTCTCTTCCAGATAGAGTGTGCTGGCTCTCCCGCCAGCAGCTAAGAATTTGAATGCTAGGATAGGGCACAGGGGATGAACATAGGTAGAGGGAGCTTATAGGAAGAATGCTCTCCACCCACCACATTAACTGTATCTTTCCCTGGGAGTCTCAGGCATACAGCAACCATGCTCAGAGCCTCCAAAAGGCAGGGCTTGAACGCCTGTTGCCCTAACGCTTTTTAGGCGAGAAACTAGTTTGTGGGTCTGGGAGACACACTGAGCAGCTCAGATTTCTGTAGGAAAGCTTGGTGCCCGGGTGCAGAGGGGCAACTAAAGGTCATGTTTGAATGTGCTGGGTCCAGTGCTCATTACAGAAAATATCGGCTGCATCTATCCAGAAAAGGAATATAAAAGGATTTATGTTTTTAACATCAAACTTGTGGCAACCAACACAATTCCTTTGAGGTTTTGAGAAAACAGCAAAACCAGGACCCCTGGTGACATCCCCTCTAAGGACAGCTCCACAGACTTGTCAGCACGGTGAACAAACCTCCCCTTTACTAGTCCTTCAAACACATCACTAAGAGAGAGCACCGGCGGGAAGCAAATGCTCCAGAGCTTGAAGGAACTCCAGGCGCAGTTAAGAGGCCCCTTGAAGCTGCTCTACTCCGGTGAGCACAGCAAGCATCCCCGGAGACCTCACCTCGATTCACCTAGTGGGGCTGGAGGACCCGAAAGGTCATCTTTTCACGGAAGACTATCCCTAGATGCCTGGGAGAGCCTGGTCGCAAGCCCAGAGGTCCCCGGCCCGCCGGAGGTCCTCACACTGCCAGGCCAGGCAGGGCTCTTACCTGCCCGTGGTGTATACGGCAGCCCCTTGACAGCTCCCCCAAGTCGCCACTGGAAAAGTTTCCGAACTTCTTCACAGCTCTCCAAACCCTCGCTTAGGGTAGATCCAAGGAGAGCCAGGAGGAGAAGACAGCGCCAGCTCAGACGCCAGGTGCGGGTGTCCATCCTCAGTGTTTGGGTCGCGCCTTCCCCGCCGTGGTTCCCACTCTCCCGCGCTCCCTGCGCTGGCGGCGCCGGGGTAAGATGCGTGGCCGAGGCTGGCGGGGATGAGATGCGCAGGCGGCCTCCGGAAGACAGCGCACGGACCGCAGCTTCACCTGCAAGAGCTCGGCTTTTTCCTTTGGAGCCCCGAGGCTGAGATGCTGGACTTCTTAGGCTCAGCATCGCCCGGGTCCCTCCGGGACCAGGGCGAGTTGGCGCTGTGCGAGCCGAAGCCGAGCTCCGGAGAAGCGGAGAATCTGCGAGCATCTGGCACCGGCTACCAGCGCGGCAGCCGCTGGGCTCGCAGCCGCAAACCTAGGCTGTGCCGGCTCGCAGAGCTCCACCAAAGCCCGGCTGGCTGGCCCCGCGAGCAGGCCACGCCCTTAGCCACACCCCCGGCGGGCCGTCCGCTCCGCCCCAACCCAGATCCTGCGGAGCCCAGCAACAGCCAGGCTGCACGACCTCAGAAAAGAAGCAAATTAGTGGACAGAAGCCCAGTCTTCTTCCTCCCGGTTCATTTGGGAAATCATTGACCTGCTGAAACAAAAGTATGTCTAAGGAGGATCAGAGAAAAGGAGATGAGAACCATGGATTGGAAGTAATAGGAAACATTTCTCTACAAATCAAGGTCCTCTATGCAAGGGAATTTGTATTCAAATTTCATATAATGGACTGGGCACAATACGAAAGGCAAAAACTGGTTTTTGAGAAACTTAATAACAGGTTTCAAAGAAGCCTGAAGGAAAAGTTATTTTAAAATGCTTTATGTTAGTGCTTTGGAGTATTTTTCTGTAAAATTGACTATGAATTTTCTGAAATGATCTCTCTGGAAAGCTATCACATTCTTACTATCACGGACAAGTCCAGCTTATTCTCTTTAACATCATAGTTCACCTCAGCGCTCTGTACCTTCACAGGCCTTTCTGAGCCTGAACGCATTTGAGAATCTTTGTAACATTTCTCAGAGAGTAACTAAAACAAAAGTGCTCAGAGGAGTTTCTCCCCAGGAAATAAAAACAACGAACATACTGGGCAAGTAAAAGCCGACAAAGAAAGTTTTTCAAGTTAGAGTTTGCAAAAGAAATGCAGAAGAAACCAGGAACCAAAAGGCAAAAAAGTGACAAGTCCCTCATCACAGCCACCTGGAGAGAAGAGGGTGCCTTTCCAACACAAAGCAGCTGTTTAAAAGCATTAGGCCGGGGTGGGGGTGGGGGGCTCTAAATACTTTAACCACTTTAAGAGAATTTCATCTTAAGCTGAACCCTTGCCAAGACTCACGATGAATAATTCTCAGTCTCAGCTAAGTGCCGTAGGGTTTTTCTAATGACCCTTTGATATCCAAGGCAGCACTTTCAGAAGGTGATTTCTTGCTATGGCGGGGACACTGTTTCAGAGTGAAATTCTACCTACATGGCTTCCAACCTCTGTTGCAGGAGTTTTGAGTTTTGTTTGTGTTGTTGCTCCAAGACCGCCAGTAGATCCAGGCTTTGGTTCAGAGGACCGGTTCATAGTTAACCTCCGAGTGGATGTAGAGGTTTCTGGCGACTCAGAGGAATAAGGAGGGGCCAAAGGAGATTTGCGGAGCTTTGGAGGAAGGAAGAGTGGAGAGCAGAGGTTGCTGGTCTTTTTCTCCGTTGCTCTGTGGATCTATCAGGTTTTACCCCAATATCTGACTCCCGACCATTTTTTATTAATAAAACAATAAAAGAAGCCGCTTTATATGGCGTCCAATGTGGGAGCACATATTTCCACATACAACCTAAGAATGCTTAAAAAAGAAAAAAGAAATAAAACACAAACACAGAGTCAGACATGGCTTTCTAGTCCTGTCCCACAGTCTCTCAGGCAGGCCACAGTGTGCAGTGTTATGTGTGGAACCACATAGCAGTTTTAAGGCTTGGCTCTCGTGGTTAGATAAGGCTGCAGGTGCACAGTAAAGCTGTCCAGACCAAGTAAACCTTTAAACAGATACAGTTAAAAATGGATATAGACAGTCAAAGGAAAAAAATAGTTTAAAAGTAATAAAGTCTTTAAAGAGAGAGTAATATAAAAAAAATACACATAAAGGTGGGAAATACACAGGACATCTGGATCCTGTATGGTGTTTTGTTGACTTTGAATTTTTAGAATGCTGATGAGCAAATGGCAGCTGCTGAGTGACACTGTAATTTGAAGGGGACTGCAGAATTAAACCAGCCTAGATACTTTAGAGGTGTCTTGGCTTCAAAATGTTAGTCAGGAAATGTGTTACATTGGTGAAGAGGTTATGCCTTTGTTTCCAGTGGAAACAAAAATCATGGTTCTCTTCAAAATTAATGAAGATTGAGTTTGATTGGGGGAGACCTCCTGAAAGTCTTGATTACAGACATAAAGAAAGAAACCAAGAAAGACTACAGAACAGGTGATGTATATGCTGATACCTCTATTATGGAAACAGCTCTGAGACTGGATGAGATGATAAATCTTGTTGGCTAAAGAGTCCTCGTGACTTATTATTATATGTCATCCTTTCATATGGCACGGATAGAGGTTTAGTTATATAGTCCAAGCAGACTTATAAAGTTAACAAATGCCTTTTTCCTGCTCAAACATAAACAAAAAAAAATCTTTAGCTGACTTGTGCACACTGCGTATTCCATACTTGTGTTAATTCAGATATATATGTTACTTTTAAAAGTTTATGTATTTTCAGTAAAAAAGGACCAGACACCAATAGAAACAAGTAGCTCAGGTAATCCAGCCTCTCACAATTCCTTTGTTTCCGTTTCCTCAATATTCTACATCCAGAACAACTTCAAAGCTGCTAGCTGAGATGGTCCAGCTTCACAGACTAACCAGCCAGGACTTCAGAAAAGCTCTACACTTTCCCATTACACAGAGACTAAACAAAAAAAATGATACAGCTAGCTCTCCCAGGACTTGACCATTATCCCAATTTTCTCAGGATCCCATAAAGATGTCATTGCCCCAAGACAGCAGGAAGTAATTTTAAGAACATGATGCCTACATTCCCAAGAGGTACAGTAGGTGATTTCTGGTCATTCAGTGGGTTATGGATGTTTACCATCATATAGGCAGTTGGTTACAAATTGTTATTGGTCATAGGCAGGGAAGAAACTAAGCAAAAGAGATTAGACTCAGGGCTCTCATTCTGAAAAGAAAAAAAAAGGGGGATATAGGAATGGTAAGATAAAAGGGTAGATTGTTGAATCTACTTTTTTTTTTTTTTTTTTTTTTTGGTTTTTCGAGACAGGGTTTCTCTGTGTAGCTTTGCGCCTTTCCTGGTACTCGCTTTGGAGACCAGGCTGGCCTCGAACTCACAGAGATCCGCCTGCCTCTGCCTCCCGAGTGCTAGGATTAAAGGTGTGCGCCACCACCGACCGGCCTGAATCTACTTTTAAACTAAAAAATGCAACTACTAGTTTCAAATATTTTACATTGGTATGAATTTTTGTCTATTGATACAAATGTAAGGCTATTTTATGCTATATATATATATATATATATTTTATGCTATATATATATATTTTATGCTATATATATATATGTTTCTACTCTTGTTTAAGATATTTTTTGTATATTGATACAAATTTAAGGTTATTTGTGTTATACTGTATGTATGTTTCTACTCTTGGTTAAGGTATTGTTCCAATGCAGCTCATTTAAAAATGCAAAGAAGTTCTAGTCCTTGAAAGCTATTAGGATAATAAAGAAAGACATGTTAGTAGTTAGTCATTTAAAACAATCAAACTTATAGTCATGTTAGGTATGTTTTCAAGTTCAAACCTAAATATTTTAAATAGATAGATGGTCTTTAAACACTTCAGAGACCTACAGAATTTAAAATGTTTTATTAACATAAGGCTTTTCATGAAAGTGAGACACATCTACTCCTGGCAGCACCAATTTACTTCAAAAGAGATGATGAGCATCAAAGAACCTCCATATTGAGTTTGCTTTCTTTGTGGCAGTTAGCCACTGGGAAAGAAACTGCCCTTGCCTTGACTGCTGACATATGCTGTCTAAATTGACAAGCAGAACACAAAAGAAGGTGACTGCTCAACTTTGCCAAGACAAGGGAGAATAGTCCTTCAAAATTCCTGCTTCACAGAAAAGTCTGTCAGATATTCTAGGCCTGTAGGCTGAAAATGATGCCCCAGTGTTACAGAGGAACCTTGGTATGACTGTCCAGGCAGCAAGATGTCTCTGTGATTCCTACAGTTTTGGAAACTGTTTGCTCTGCAATTCCTGTTTATTCAGGTAATATTATATCCTTCTCAGATCTCTGGTGGGGTTGAAAACTAGACAGTTATAGTTACAGTTTTCCTTAGTTAAGACAGAAAGTAAACTAGGTACAAAACTTTGAACTCACCAAGAGAGGACAGATGGAGTATTTTCTCTGAATTTGCCAAATACAAATGGACTGGACATTGTGAATGCAACCTTACTTGATCGTGTTTTCGTTGTATATAGTTTTACTATGTTAGAGTTAAAATCTTTCCTTTTTATTTAGACAAAAGAAGGGAAGATTGTGGGAGATTCGTTCATGTAGTTGCTCCAAGACCACCAGTGGAGTCCACATTCAGCTGGCCAGAGTTTTCTGGCAGACTCAGAGGAGATGAATGGACACAAAAGAGGAATAAGGAGGGTCCAAAGGAGATATACAGCACTATCGAGCAAGGAAGCATGGAGAGTAGAGGTTGGCAATCATTTTCTCTGTTGCTTTGTGGATTATGGGGGACCTTCCCCCACTTTTTTTAGTGTACTCTTGAGGAGAGAGGGATAAGAAAATATCAGATAGAACGAGAGACCTAGCTGAGGAGAAGAAAGACAGAAACTCAGGATAGCTTCAGGAGAACCCAGATTAAAATCCACAGGCCTGGAACTTTATTCAGAAGGACTTTTTATAGCAATGCCAAGGGGTGAGGCAAAAGACCTCCCCCTTGCTAGATATAGCCAAGTGCAGACCCTTCCAAATATCTGGTTACCATGCCCATGGTCATTTCCCCTTATGCAGTCTTGCTGGGTAAAGCAAGCTCAGCTTCTCTGATCCTGAGTAATTTGGGCCTCCACAAATCCCCCTTCTTAATAATATAAATCTCAAGCGGGAATACTGAGCTTAACTCTATGCAGCTCTGAATCAGCTTTTCCACTAAGAGCTTGCAAGTAGCTGGAATAATTATAGCAATACACTTGCTCATTAAGGCTGCTATACCTCCCAGTAAAGGAGTAGAGGATGATAAAGATGGAATGGCCTTTTTGAATAGGTCTAAAATGTAGACTTAGCTGTACCAAGTCCTTCTTTAAATCAACAAAGTCCTGATGCAACCATATGAAACCAAAAGACTCCCTTGGCAT